TACCTACAGCAATAAACAATACAAATTGTACAACACGGCTATTACCTCTGTGTACAATGTTACCTGGTGACATAATGAAAGGGTCAGCGTACCCAGAACCCAGAATGTACCAGGAGGAGCTAGAACATATAAAGGTGAAGGGGCGGGGCATCCAGGAAAAGGTGGACAGGAGCAGAGCCGGGAATTATGGCAAGGAGATCTCACAATCCATAACATAGATGAAGCCCGGGGCTTCAATGCCTCACAGTTTGACTCTCTAAAGCATCCACATCCTGAGTAGTAAAGCCTGTCCCCTGCCAGCATGCCGCAGAGAAGGACCCTTGCTGTCTACGTGGAAGCAGTGGTCTCTCTGCACAGGTCCAACACCCCCTGCTGAGTCAGAGCTAGAGCTCTGCAATCCTGAGGGAGCTTAAAGTCCAATTCCACTTTCAGTTGTTCAATGGTGCTCAATATCGTAAGTTTGTAACATGCTGTAGAGAAGGACCCTTGCTGTCTATGTGTAAGCAGTGGCCTCTCTGCAGGGCTAGAGCTCTCCAATCAGCAGATGTCATGCTCCCTGATGATTAGAAAGCCAATGCGTACAAACAACTAGACGGTGCTGACTGCGCACACTGCTGCGGTAGATGAGCTGACCCCCCAACAGAACACGTCGGGATCACGTCGGTACACTAAGCTCAGATCACAAAGCTTTATCACCGGGATAAGGATCTTTATTTTCAGTCATGTGACTGCGATTGTCAGACCTCATTGATAAAAAGAGTCATGTTTACAACACACCGATCCTTCTCCGGGTGCGTTAGATCTCATTGTGACTATAAAACGCGTCGCTATATACCGCCAGCGGATACATTGTAACAGTTCCGGCTTTACACGGCTACATTGTATCAGCTGGAGTGCGCGGCGCGGTGCGGGACGCCGGAGGTTTTCTGGGTTACATTTATGACTCTGCAAAAGGATTTTTGAAACTCACCCTAAAGCAAAATCATCGCACAACAATCGTCGCACAACAATCATCGCAAAACAATCATCGCAAAACAATCGTCGCACAACAATCGTCGCACAAAAATCGTCGCACAACAATCGTTGCACAACAATCATTGCAAAACAATCATCGCACAACAATCATTGCAAAACAATCAACGCACAACAATCATTGCAAAACAATCAACGCACAACAATCATTGCAAAACAATCATCGCACAACAATCATTGCAAAACAATCATTGCAAAACAATCATCGCACAACAATCATTGCAAAACAATCATCGCACAACGATCGTCGCACAACAATCATCGCACAACGATCGTCGCACAACAATCATCGCACAACAATCGTCGCACAACAATCGTCGCACAACAATCATCGCAAAACAATCGTCGCACAACAATCATCGCACAACAATCATCGCCCTTCTGGTGTCTGTTTGTATAAAAGGTGTGAATAGGAAAGGAGTGTAGCGTGCAGAACGGTGTACACGTGTTGTGTCATACAATGCTGCAGACACACTTCTGTACACGACCGGCAAGCTTGGTCAGCGGTGAGCAGAGCCGCCTTGCCGTCCGAGAACAGCCGCGTGTTCATGTAGTGTGTGTGCGTGGAATCTCTCTGGTCTGACTCCTAGTGGTGGGATCATTCCTAATGTATAGTTGTGGTAAGGTGCAGATATTAGACTGTAAGCTCTTCTGCAGCAGAAGACAATGTCAATGGTTCATTGTTCTCAGCCGATCACACGCATGCAGGTTGGTGTCAGATGCACAGAAATCACCTGCACTCCATGCAGCGTACAGACCTTGAGTAAGAGGTTGGTGCTTGAAGTGACAACACGGATGGCGGCGTGTCAGATGCAGTCCATAATAGAAGTCACCAGCACTCCATGACGTGTGCGAGAAGTAAAGCACTTTTTATTCAATCGTCACATACGTCATACAGCCAACGTTTGGGGGGCCACGCAGGGTCCCTTCTTCTGGGGGACCTAGTGACCAGTATGTCCCCCAGAAGAAGGGTCCCTGTATGGCCCCGGAAACGTTGGCTGTATGACGTATGTGACGATTGAATAAAAAGTGCTTTACTTCTCGCACACGTCATGGAGTGCTGGTGACTTCTATTATGAGATGCACAGAAAGACCCCTCACCAGACAGGTTGAGGTTCTCCTTCATCCAGGTCATGGTAAAAAAAATAAATCAAGGCAGCTGGACTTGCTTTATTTTTCTTGAAGACGTTTCGCTGGTCATCCGACCACCTTTCTCAATTCAGAATGAGAAAGCTGGTCAAGAAAAATAAAGCAAGTCCAGCTGCCTTGATTTATGTTTGACAGTTTTAACACTGTGGATGGATTCTACTCCTCCGCTTTAAAAAACTGACAGATATCATCCACCACATAGTTACATAGTTACATAGTATTTGAGGTTGAATAAAGACATTAGTCCATCAAGTCCAAATGGAAGATTTCTCATAGCAGCTCTGTAGACCTTTGACACAAGCGGGCACTTCCTGCCTACTACCTGCCTGTGCAATGTATCACTGATGGTGCTCACACCTACCAACTGTCCCTGTCCCTGTTCTCCCGGGGTCTGAGGATCTGTCCCTGTCCCTCCGGGGTCTGAGGATCTGTCCCTGTCCCTGTTCTCCCGGGGTCTGAGGATCTGTCCCTGTTCTCCCGGGGTCTGAGGATCTGTCCCTGTCCCTCCGGGGTCTGAGGATCTGTAACTGTCCCTTCGGGGTCTGAGGATCTGTCCCTGTCCCTCCGGGGTCTGAGGATCTGTCCCTGTTCTCCCGGGGTCTGAGGATCTGTCCCTGTCCCTCCGGGGTCTGAGGATCTGTCCCTGTCCCTCCGGGGTCTGAGGATCTGTCACTGTCCCTCTGGGGCCTGAGGATCTGTCCCTGTTCTCCCGGGGTCTGCGGATCTGTCCCTGTCCCTCCGGGGTCTGAGGATCTGTCCCTGTTCTCCCGGGGTCTGAGGATCTGTCCCTGTCCCTCCGGGGTCTGAGGATCTGTAACTGTCCCTCCGGGGTCTGAGGATCTGTCCCTGTTCTCCCGGGGTCTGAGGATTTGTCCCTGGAAATGTCCCTGACCAATTTTTCACTCAATCTCTCTTTATATGAAATTGTACAATCTGTTATTTATATAGTGTTGTCAATCTACACAGCGCTTTATATGCTGTTCCTCAAGGAGCATACAATCTAAGGTCCCTATCCCATACATGCATACATACTACATACATACATACTACATACATACATACTACATACACATCCTACTAGACTCAATATAGACGGCAGCTGATTATCCGACCATCATGTCTGTGGAGTGAGAAGGGAAACCAGAGGAAAGCCACAGAAGCACAAGAAGAACATGCAAACTCCATACAGTTAGTCTCCTGGCCAAGATTGGCCAAGATTCTAACGAAGAACCCCCGTGCTGCAAGGCAGAAGTGCTAACTATTAAGCAACTGTTCTGCCCCAACTATTAACACTCTCTTTGGGATATTAAGTGGAAATCTAATGAGGAGCACCTAAAGCCAACAGTTATCAGTCTTCACATAGTAAAAGTGTCATATGTTTATATATAGTATCATGGAGGTCCTTCAAGGCACTATGTGGATAAATACACGAGCTTAGTGTCCCAATGTCCCTAGGGATTCAACTGAGATGTCATATATTTTTAAACATAGTGTCCTGAAGGTCTACCAAGACTGAGAGTGTCCTGAAGATCTACCAAGAGTGACAGAGAGTCCTGAAGGTCTACCATGAGGGACATAGTGTCCTGAAGGTCTATCAAGAGTAGCATCATATGCTGAAGGTCTACCAAGAGTGAGAGAAAGTTCTTAAGTCTACCACAAGTGACATAGTGCTGAACATCTAGCAAAAGAGATATGATGTCCTGAAGGTCTAGCAAGTGTAACATAGCGTGCAGAAGGTCTAGCAAGAGTTCCATAATGTCCTAAAGGTCTACTAAGAGCAAGAGAGAATCCTGAAGGTCTACCACAAGTGGCATAGTGTGCTGAATGTCTAACATGAGTGACAAATTGTCCTGAAAATCTACCAAGAATGGAATAAAGGTCTAACATGAGTGACCCAGTGTCCTATGAAACGCGAGAGAGAGTCCGGAAGGTCTAACATGAGTGACCCAGTGTCCTATGAAACGCGAGAGAGAGTCCGGAAGGTCTAACATGAGTGACCCAGTGTCCTATGAAACGCGAGAGAGAGTCCTGAAGGTCTAACATGAATGACCTAGTATCTACGAAAAATTAGAGTTCTGAGGGTCTACCAAGAGTAAGAGAGAGTCCAGAGTCCAGCACCATAGATGATACAAGGGTAACATATATCGGGGAGACCAGAGGTACCTAATATGTACAGTCTGGAGCAAAGAAGGGAAAGGGGGGTGGGGAGCATGATTGAAGCCTCTTAATACATTGAGTGTGAGGATCAGGTTCAGGAGAGCAGGATATTCAATATGAAGCTGAGATCAAGAACACGGGGACCTGATCTGAATCTAGCAGGAGGAAAAGTTCACAACTAACCTTAGAAAGTGTTCTTTTCCTGCAAGAGTAGTTGATACCTGGAGCAAACTTCCAGCAGAGGTAAGGAGTCGAATGAATTTGGAGGTAAGGTGAAGTCACCTTTGAGGGTGGATTTAAACATGCTTGAGGTAAGGATAGGTCTATACTCAAAAAGGTTCAAAGAACCCAAATCTGTAAATCACCTCAAATGTTATAAAGCGGCAGAGACTCAAACTCGTAAGAAAAAGTTCAAAGATAATAGAAAAAAAGGGGGCGGGTCCTGAGGGAGCGCCTCGGTCTTTTTCTGCCATCGCTCCTCTACGTTTCTATAACTCTACTGCACGTGATCAATAGCCGGAAAAGTTGACCAAAAATGCCGCCGCGTACAAATAGGCTGAACGGCTATGGAAAACCTCGTATCGCTTAGCCGGTCGGCGGCGAAAGCGTGACCCCCCAAAAAAAACCCCGGCGACAGGGAATAGAATAAAAGGGATACTCACTGGTCCTGTCCACGGGCGAGTTGAGTGGGTGCCTGCCCCCATTGCGGGCTTGGTTGATGGAGCTGCTGTTGGCGGCGTGCAGCAGATGTTTATCCACATGGGAGTAGAGGACCTCCGTGCCGTCGTTTTTGAAGGACAAGCAGCTTTTGAAGAGGACGCAGGAGAGGTAGAAGAGGCAGCGCTGGAGGGGAGAGGTGAGCATGGTGCCTGGATACTGTTTCGTCCTGCCTGGGATTGTGAACTCGCCTGGAGATGTCTGCGCTTTATATAGTCAGAGGGGGGCTTGGCATTCATTCAGGTGTCAACTTCAGCGAGAGGGAAGTGGGAGGGCCAATCGGAGGGCAGGCTTGCTGAGATTTGCTTGCAGGGCGACGAACGCTGGAGCTCACGATACAGGGGGTGCGAGTTACACAATGCGAGGAGAATATAGTGAGAAGAATGACACCGGGGAGGTCTGACATGACAATGGCAGGAAGAAGGAGATGGCTTCAATGGCTGGCTTTGTTTGGGCTGCGCTGGCCAGCTCCTGCCGGGGGGGAGGGGGCCAATTATCAGGGACGTCCTTGAGCTGTGCGCTGAGGCTGCCTGACAACGCAGCGCGGCGATCGGTACAAAGCTACAGCAAGTACATGAGCGTTGTAGTCACAGGAGCTGACACTTAAAGGCGCAGTACACCTTTAAAGGATATGTTTTATTATACACCCATATTTAGGGGGAACATGAAACAAGGTCACATCCCCTCCCCCCCCACACGTACTGTGCAAAGCTGGGGCAATCCCGGGATCAGAGGAGAATCTCATTACAATCTGGTTGTACAATCCTCATACAATCTTGTATCCCCAGCAGCTACAGCAAAGCTCAGTCTGGGGGAGGGAGAAGCAGCACAAGGAGCCAATCAGTTGTGCAATGCCTAGAGTATGCTGATAGGAGGAGAGAGCAGAGTGATGGAAAGAGAAGCTTAACAGTCTGCCGCTTCTCCTTTCGCTGTCCAGTCAGAGAAGACCTGTATCTAGAACATGGTGACCTGTCATCCCATAATAGGAGCAGGAGGAGGACCTGTCATTGTCTGCTATGTATGTAGCTGTGCTGTCACGCCTCATGACAAACACAGCAAAATAATGATCACCAAGCATGGAGGCGGCTGTGAGCTGCACTGCGCATGTTAGTTTATAAGTCATCCTGCACTGATGAGATCTGTTGCCAGGTTCTGGTCTTCCTGTCCTATTAAAGGGGCCGCTGACGGCGATCAACATATGTGACGGATCTGTGAGTACCGGACCCGGACCCGGCAACAAAACGTGTCACTATGTTACTACGTGTAGTACGTGTTACACACTGTTATACTTTTTGACTACATGTGTTACTGTGCTGCAGTCCCGGCCATTTTGAATGGCACCCCGGCGCACCCCAGTCCACGTTCCCGCGTTGTGGCACATAACAATAAAGGGGGTCACACGTCCTATTTTCATCACATTAGGTTGCGTTTGTTGGCAGGCCAATCATTTCCCTGGGTTTCCTTAGCACAGCGCCTAGCAACGTGGGACATGATTCACCCTAAAGAATTGTCCAATCGCAAAAACCGATAAAGATTTCATTGATCATTTCCCACCGTTCCTTCTCATATGGAATACTCTGACCGTTCACCTCCAGCGGGAATGCCCCCCATACACACAGTGCACCCCCATCACCCCGTACACACAGTGCACCCCATCACCCCGTACACACAGTGCACCCCATCACCCCATACACAAACACCCCTCAGACCGGCTCGGCTTAGGCTGACAGTCCTGGAAGAGGAAGAACATTCCGCAGGATAATGGAGGACAGACAGGAAAAATAACGCAGATAGCGTCTCATCTCCCCGAGCTCCGGCTTCCTGTCTGAGCTGGATGGAGAACATTCACCAGTGATTCACTCGCAGCGTCATGTCACTCAATGTTCCCCCTCATTGGCTGTCGGGGATTTGTATATCGCAGTCACTTCTATTCAATGCAGAACTCCAAATAATATAAAAATAGCATCCAGAGATTTCACCCGCAGGACTTTGTTTCTGCCACTAGATGTCCTCAGTCTCATGGCCGGCATCATTCAACCCACTTCCTCTGAGCCCAGGTCATCCTGCACCCCCCCCAGCCAGCCAGCCAGCCAGTAAAAAGAGAAGCAGCACAGTGGTGAGCTCATCTCTCTGTCATTCTGCATTCTCCTCCTATCAGCATGCTTCTTATCAGCACATGAACTGATATTGGCTCCATGTGCTGCTTCTTCCTCTCATGCTCATTGGTGTGCTGTGTCTAAAATGCTGCAGTTATGATGTGCTCGGTGCGCTAGTGGGTTGGGGTGTTGAATGGCGCCCCGTAGGGTTGCCACCTGTCCGGGATTCACCTGGGCAATCCGGCTTTTGAATGCCGTGTCCGGGTTTCATGGCAGCAGAAACCCGGACACAAGATTTCAGGCAGACAGGGGCAACCAAAATTAATATAATTTACATATTTATGGGTGGCGCTATTCACATATGAATAAGCCACGTCTCCCAAAAAATTGTCCACTTGTCGCTAGAGTGTTCGGGTTTCGCTTGAAGAAAAGGTGGCAACCATAGCGCCCTCACGCGCTTCCCGGCAGGTGGTGCATGTGGTACCATGGAGTTTTATTTCAGCACGCCAACGCTGCATGGAATCATCCATTTCTGCACCATGGCGAATAACGATCACAGCTTATTTCTGGTAGCGCGCAGATCGCGCCAGGCCGCGAGTGTACACCGTGTGCAAACAAAACCGCTCTAATTATTATCCCTGGAAACCGATCCCTGAAAATACTGCTCGGGATTGGCTTCCTCTGCGAGAGAGATGTCATACAGCATTACATGTCCCCCTCCGACTCCGCCGCCCCCCCATGTCGCTTCTCATTTGTACAGCAAGGGGACTGCACTGCCATCTGGTGGCCGTACAGATCAGCGCAAGGCAGATATATATATATACAGGTGAAACTCGAATAATTAGAATATCGTGCAAAGTTCATTTATTTCACTAATTCCACTTAAAAGGTGAAACTAATATATGAGATAGACTCATTACATGCAAAGCAAGATAATTCAAGCCGTGATTTGTCATAATTGTGATTATGGCTTACAGCTCATGAAAACCCCAAGAACCCCAAATCCACAACCTCAAAAAAGTAGATTATTACATGCAATCAATAAAACAAGGATTGTACATAGAACAATATCGGACCTCTGAAAAGTACAAGCATGCATATGTACTCAGTACTTGGTTTGGGCCCCTTTTGCAGCACTTACTGCAATTACTTTTGCACGATATTCTAATTATTCGAGTTTCACCTGTATATATCCACTTCGCTCCGCAGCTTGTCTACACTGTAGTTTGTACGGGCACAGCGCATATTACAAGCGATTGGGCGTCTCTACAGACGTCTGAACGCTTGTATGTAAACAGCCATCGCTGGCTGTTTACATTCAAAGCCGATTTCACGTTCGTGCGCGCTGCCTAGCGGTGGGCACGAGCGGGGCAGGTTAGGACGTTTAAAAATTAATAATAATCTTTTTATTTTTAGACTGTAAACAATCTGGATTTACTTGAGGACCCCAAATATCCACACAGATCGATTTCCTGTGCTCCTCCGCTCCATCTTCTGGCAGCAACACTACTGGCATTTGTCCAGCATGTGGCTCATCCCTTTTAGATCGTAAGCCCTCAGGGGCGGGGCCCTCCTTACCGTCTTGTCTTGAATGGTATTGTGATTGTAATGTCTTCCTTATATTGTAAAGCGCTGCGCAAACTGTTGGCGCTATATAAATCCTGTATAATAATTATAGTAGTATTATAATCCTGTATTATCATCATCATCGATCATCCCTTTCCTGTCCTAGGGTGACAACGCTGCTTCTCTATACAGTACAGTAAGGTGAATGTTGCCTCCCAGGGACAGGAAGTGTGTTACCAGCAGGATCACGAGGTAAAAATAAAGTAGAAAAGAAGCCAGAAAACGAATGCAGGACGGGTAAGCTACAATTAGGGATGCGCCGTTACCTATACTAGTATCGGTTTCTGTGCCAATGCAGAGTAATCGTACTCGCCCAAATTCTCCGGTGCCTGGTCCAATACCCGAGCTTCCGGTATCAGGAAGCCAGGCAGCGAGTCATTACACGCTGCCCGGCTTCCTGATTGGCCGGGAAGCCGGCTCCATCCTCCCTCATCACTTGTGACGAGGGAGGATGGAGCCGGCTTCCCGGCCAATCAGGAAGCCGGGCAGCAGGTAGTGATTTGCTGCCTGGTTTCCTGATTGGTCGGGAAGCTGGCCAATCAGAAAGCTGGGCGCCGTGTAATGACGCGGAGCTCCTCTTTAAGTAATAAAACTTTTGCCCGTGTTTTTTTTAATTAGCCGTCAGGATGAGTCAACGTTGAGATAAACGACATGTGACCCCGCGGGCATCACCGGCCCGGCAATCAGCGAGACGATAAAAGACGTTCAGATAAAGAGGAAGCCGCCATCACGAGCACAGATGATTCAGGTGGATCCTTTTAACACAAATGACCCCTGGGGGGGCCCGGCTCGGCCAGGAGACTCACTAACACATGGCTAATGGCCCATTACTGTCCGTCCTCATTACATTACCCGGCCCGTCACTCATTCGGGATGATTTAAAGGGGAACAACGAAATGAAAAAACCGCGATTGGCTCATGTCTGTGCCTTGCCCGGAATATGTTCCTCCTGCGTCTCTACAGAACGCAGGCGACGGCGAGACCGTAACTGAGATTTAGGACAAAGCACGTGAGGTTCGCACGTAAATCTGAGCGCTACAGAACACCTCCGCCCTATGTCATGGAGGAAAGAAGGTGGAGAGGCGTCCTGTAGTGCTAACACACTTTGGGGATGATCTATAACAGTGCTTCTTAAAGTGTGGGTCGCAACCCCATATGGGGTCACGCAAGTGAACAGTGTGGGTCGCGATCTGAGTCCCCGGCCAGGACCGCCATCACCGCTGGGGGGGAGAGAAGAGGAGATAGACACTGACCGACGCTGGGGGGAGGGATGAGAACAGGAGAGAGACACTGACCGACGCAGGGGGGGGGGAGACACCGACTGACGTTGGGGGAAAGAGGGGAGAGACACCGTCTGACGCTGGGGTCGCTTAACCAGTTGACATCCGCGGTGTTAAACCCCCTTCCCATCCAGGCCATTTTTCAGTATTGAGCGCTGCGGTACTTTGACTGACATTTATTCCGTCATGCAGCGCTGTACTGAAATGAATTTTATACCCTTTTTA